AGGAAATTAGGTTAGGGTGTGGGCATTGGACAGGGGTCAGGTACATGGAGTGATAATCACTGTCATTTGCGCGGAGCGAACGACTGTCACAAGGGGGTAGGGACGATGTGCGATCGCCGCCTGGCGTCGGAGTCGGCCATGGAAGTGAAAGTGCTTGTGTGTGCGTCTTCTGACAAAATAAAACTGGATTCGCTAGCCGTATAGCCACTGTTTCAGCTGATGCAAGCACCCGCTGGCGTAGGCCCTGGGAAAAGTTAGCTGGTGTCCGATAGACAACCCGAAAGGCTTCATTAGTATCGACTCGGTGATTCGTATCGGCAAGGTGTACGAGAATAGAACTCGAGAACTCATCTTTACTTAACCAGGCCGGTATGGGCTCACGTACCCTCTTTTTTCAGGCGCCTCGTTGTTCGGTCGATGTATCCTGCTCCACACTTTTCAAACTAAACATGGGCATATTTGCAGAACTTATTAGACAGGAATTCAGTGATTTTTCACGAGGACAGGCATGTCAGAATTAGCCTCATTCGCTACCACCTCTATCAGGCTTCTCTTGTCTGTCGGAGACTGTTAGCAAGTTGATTTGATAGCGTGTTTTAAGTGCCATAAAGCACCGCAATACAGACTCAATGAAGCCTGCCTAAAGCATAGTACAAGCCATTGAGGTCTAACGTAGCAGCGAGACGAACGGCGAAATTTGCCACTCATACATACACACCTACAGTAGTTGTACATTGATCCGTTTGAGAACTGCGAGCAACGAAACGCCTGCTGGGGCTTTTATCTTCTTTAAGCACACTAAAGACATCGGTGGAGGAAAACGCAAAAACAACACCCGAATAAACTCAAATAACGGGGTTGTGCGCATCTTGCATATGCACAGAAGATTGCAAAAACCGGCTCTATGGAGGTAAACCAGGCTAATGTAGTTACCCTAAAAGTGAGTTCTCCACAGTTTTCGGGGACAAAGTAAGAAGTCTATTTCCGATGAATTCTTCTGTAGTCTGAAGAAAATCTCACATCCCATTTGCAGCAAGGGAGTGACATTCAGGGTAAAAGTCTTGCACCCAATCTGTTTGGTGAGCTGTCATGACTTTACCGACTAAAAGGCCTTTTTTAAAGGGGGGCACCTGTGAGAGTTGAGCGGATTCTCCTTTAAAAGCGCACAGACTGTGTCGACAGGGTATTTTGATGAAGTCGCGGAATATAAACTGACTCCGAGTGCAGGGGGTAGGCTAGTTGGCGGCTTTTAAAGCGCGGTAGAA